GTTCGATTCTGTAGAAATCCAAATCAAAATCAGCAGTCATGTTGCCATTTCCTGGTTCCTGAGACCAAGTTTCTAGGTAGGATCCCCGCCCAACACCTACACTTAGCACAGGCTTCCTGGTTCTAGGACACTGAGAATTGAGGCAGACATGCAGAGGGATAATTTATAACTTGGGACCATATTTGGTTTGGACTATGCACACACCTTTCTTCTAATGATGCACTTGGCAGCCTGCTCCTTTTCCTGTACATACTATGTGTGCATGTCTACACACTTCTCTCCAAACAGTACACCTAGTAATCTCACTGCCCCATCTGAATCAGGCTACAATGGGATACATTTCTTCTCCCCTAATAATAATCAAATTTAGATAGTTTCTATTCAAATATTCCCAGAACTGGGCATGGTGGCCACCTTTAATCTCAGCACTCAGGAGGCAGAGGCAAGCAGATCTCTGTGAAATTGAGGCCAGCCTGCTTGACACAGTGAGTTCCAGGCCAGCTGGAGCTTCAGGGAGAATCTTTAAAAAAAAAAAAAAAGAAAAGAAAAGAAAAAAAGAGGGCAAGAACCTGGAAATACCTGGCTCACACCCCTGTCATTTATAACAACAACAACAACAACAACAAAATGACCAGGCAACTGCAGCTTCAGCCTGCACTAACCCTACTCAGATTGCACTGCTTTCTAGCCTCTCTTCCTTCTCCACCCCCTTCTCCTCCTCTTCCTTTTCCTCCTTGTAACTTTCTCAGGCTGGTTCATATTCACAATCTTCCTGTCTTAGATTCCCCAAAACGTGATAGTACAGGCATATACCACTACGTCCAACTTTCTAGCCTCCTCTTAGATTTTAGTTTTGGAGAGTGGCCTTAATTATAATGAAACCAGCCATGTCTTTATGAGCTCACACTTGTACAGTCTCAAAATTCATTTACCTTTATAACACAAATATAGACACATATTTCCATACATACAGTCACACATCATACTCACGCACATACACTGACAAATATACTCACATATACACTCATATGCATGTACACTCACACATACTCTCACACATCCACTCACACACATAACAGGCTACTTCCATCAATGTCTCCATTTTGCTGTATTCCCTTCTCAGTGTCAGGCTATGACCTTTACTTGGTATTCCTTTGATCTTGTTTGCCTTTCAAAGTCGATACTAAAAATTGATTTCTCACAACAAGAACTGACTAGAGATGGGATAGAATGTTCTGTCCCAAGATAAGGAAATGCCCACACTGGGCAGGTGTTCCCACGTCAGTTAAGACAATCAAGCTAATCCCTCACAGACACAGCCAGAGGCCTGCCTCCCAGATGACCAGGTACATACCTGATCCAACCTGCCAGGCAAGGTGGATTTCTACACATAGTACCTGACCTGGCCTTTATATAAAAACCCTCCACCTCGTCAAAAGAGGAACAGAGAAGTTAAGACACTACTCTGCCTGCTTCCCATCTTGCTAACATTCTCAATAAAACATGTTCTCTTTTCTCCAGCCCTCATCTCTTGAGCATTGGTCATAGGATGAGCTTCCAGAACAGAAATGGTAACATACTAAGTACACACACACACACACACACACACACACACACACACCCTTAGGTCTTGAGCCTTACTTCTACATGCTCTTTGCACCTGTACATGTTGCCCAAACAGAGATGAAGATGGAATTAGAAAACTCAATAAGTAATTAGAAAAGACAGGAGAAAGTCTCACCAGCGGAATGAATCAAATGGAAAACAGAATGTCAAGACTTGAAGATAAAGTTTCAGAATTGGACTGTTCAAGCAAAGACTGTAAATTAAAACAAATACACACAAGAATGGACTATGAAGGAGCTGAGGAGCTGAAAAAGCCAAACCTATATTTTATAGAGAGAGAGGAAGGAAAAGAATCTTAGGTCAATGGTATTAACCAGATCGTCAGTAGGATTATAGAAGAAACTTTCCCCAAATTAAGTAAAAACATACTAATGAAGATGCAAGAAGCACACAGAAGACCAAATAGGACCAGAAAAGAAATTCTCCACAGCACATCACAGTAAAAACACTAAACATACAGAGCAAAGAGAAGGTGTTGAAATGTGCAAGAGAAAAGCAACAAGTCACATATAAAGGAAACCATCAGACTGACGGCTGACGTTTCAGTGCAAACTATAAAAGCTAAAAGAGCTTGGAGCAATATATTGCAAGTTCAAAATGACCACAGTGCCAACCCAGACTTCTTTACCCAGCAAAAATTATCTATCAATAATGGTTGGAGAAAAAAAAAAAACTTCCATGATTTAAATAGGTTGAAAGAACTCGTGTCTACCAAACCAGCCCTACAGAGAATATTTTAAGCAATATTGAGGACTGAAGGAAGGAATGACCAAGAAGTGACAGAAAGAAGACAAATGAAGCTATAATTATGGGGAAAAAGGACTAAGAACACAAACAGAAAATAAAATGGCAGAAAGCAATACACACCTTTCAATGATAACTTTAAGCATCAATGACCTCAATTCTCCAATCAAAAGACACAGGCTAGTTGAATGGATTAAGGAACAAAATCCATCTTTTTGTTGTCTACAGGCAACTCACCTGACCTTCAAGGATAGGCACCATCTTAGAGTAAAGGGATGGGAAAAAATATTCTTACTAAATGATTTCTTACTAAATGACATGTGTACAATGCACCTCTAGACCTAAAGCTCAGGGAACATCGAGGAAGAGGGAGCAGAAAGAATGTAAGAGCCAGAAGGACAAGACGCCTGCTGCTAGTGTATGTATTCTAGACGTGATAGGGAAGCCACACCAATGAACTCTCCCCAGTATGGCAGTCTAAGCAGATCTGTAAAATGACCAAACCAGTTGACATGCCAAGGTGCACGGTGGGGATGTCACAGGGTTCCACCTCAAGATGAAGAGCTACAGGTAATCAGTGGATGCTGAGGGAGGGAAAATCCGTTTCCTCCAGGGACTAGCTCCCTGACAGGTTATCTAATCCCAAATGGACAGCCTTAAACATGGAAAAATGAGCACCATTAAATGGACTCAGTGCATATAAAATGTGTATATGTGGGGCTGGAGAGATGGCTCAGCAGTTAAGAGCTCTGACTGCTCTTGTAAAGGACCCAGATTCAATTCCCAGCACCCACATGGCGGCTATGAACTGTCCTTCACTACAGTTCCAGGGGAATCTGATGCCCTCTTCTGACTTCTGCGAGACTGCATGACATGGTGCGCTCACATACATGCAGGCAACACAGTCATGCACATTAAAATAAAAATAATAAATAAAACATTTTTAAATGTATATATGTATATGCAATAATAATAATCAAAGAAGAGAAGATGAAGTTGACAGCGAGTGGGGGGACATGGGAGGAGTTGGTGGACTGCAAAGACAATAGTCACGTATGAAATTCTCAAAAAAAAACTTTTAAGAAAAAAAGTATATGGTTTGTTTAAAAGGCAATGATGGTTTTAGACCTCTGACAAGCACAAAGAAAGTGAAATGGTCAACTTTTATTTTTTTTTCCCAAAATTCAAGAAAGATTTTAACGGGAACAGAAGCCAGGAGGGAGAAAGAAGTTAAAGCTAGGGAAGAGGGGAGAGAAGAGGCTGAGTAAGGCCCGTGCCAGTGGTGGAGGGCTTCCAGGGACAGTAGCAGAGCGAACATCTGAGCCTGGATGAGGGGGATTATCAGGGATGGAATCCAGGCCAATTCAAGAGCCCTTGCATTCATGAGCCAGGTCCTACCCTGTAAGCCAGAGGGGGTTGCCTGGCCTAGGGGAAACCTGCTCATTGGAACCTGCAATGAACAAGGTCAGGAAATTTCTAGGCCCCAACCATGTCAGAGGCCCCATCATCTCCTTACACAGGTACAAAGTTCCTGGACTATTTGGTCTTCCAGCTCGTATTTGCCCAGCAGGGCTTCAGAGAGTTCTCCTGAACTCCTTTGTGTTTGCCAGAATTCTTTTTCTCAGAATCTCAATTCCATCTGATTTAGCAAAAGGGGAATTTCTCTCCAAAATGGTCTGGTAGTGGGAGGGGAAAGGCAAGGGACCATCTGAGAAAGCTGCAGTTTAAACCCACTTCTGTCTCCACACGTCTCCTTTTTCCTGTCACTTCTCCAGCTCAGGCCAGCCTGTGGGGGTATTCTGGAAACGTCACCACAGGCTGCTCCAGCTTACAGCTGCCTCTTGAGTTCCAACTCCAAAACTCTCCAGTTAAGCCCAGTACTATGGCAGATGCCTGTAATCCCAGAACTTGGGAGACGGAAGCAGGAGGATGAAGGGTTCAAGGTCTCTCTGAGTTTGAGGGCAATCCGGGCTACATGAGACCCTGCCTCAAAATACTGAAACCAACCAACCTGTCAATCAAGCAAAATCAAAATCAAACACACAAGCAAAGAAAAAACCAACTCCCTGGGAAACTTGGCAGGGTGGTGCTCACCGGGAGTCCCAGCTAGTCAGGAGGCTGACACAGGAGGATGATGGAGCCCAAGAGTTTGAGACCAGCATGGACAATATAACAAGACCTCCAATTTCCAAAAAGTAAAAATGACAGTAAATAAAAACTCCCAATGAAGCATTCTGATTCCCTATGTGGGTCATAGGCCACAGAGACAACTACTCTGAAAGATTCAGGTAAACTCGGATCCCAGCGCTGGGCCATCACAGTTGCCTCTCCGAAGATGGAGGGAAGGGAGTGAGGAAGAAAGGGAGAGACGCGGGTCCTACGAGCCACACAGTCTTTCCTCCAGGCTCCCAGTTCTGCCCAGCTCCCAGGTGAGGGAGCTGCAGTGTTCTCAGAGCATGTGCTGGACCGTAGCCAATTCTTCCACCAGCCTGGGACAGGCTGCACCCGCTGAAGGGAGATACAGCCTCGCGAGGGACCTCTAAGGTCCTTCCTGGTGGTGGCCAAAGGCCAGTTCCCTGCTGCTGCTCCGCGGGTTCTCAGCACCGCAAGGTACATCGGGCCTATGTTGGGAGCTGTCCAGGAAGCAGAGCCAGGCCATTTCTGGCTGGATCCCAGGCTCAGCTAAGACAGCCTTGAGCAAAGCTTTCCTCTCTAGCAGGGCGGTGCTCCTTGCTCGCTGTGCAACGCCCCGAGACCCGGTGTCCTCCCCAAGGCCCGCGGGGTTTGCTGCCTAGGCTCTAGGCGGGGAAACCATCAGGGCCAAGGTCAGGGTCAGGATCCACTGGGGTTGAGACAGACCCATAATCGCCTGCGCTTGCTGTGCACTTGCCACTGCCACAGCCAGCGAACGTGGTACATCCACACCATCTGTGCCTCCCTCGCCATGGGCCCTGGAGCTCTACCTGGACCTGCTGTCCCAGCCCTGCTGTGCGGTCTACATGTTCGCCAAGAAGAACGGCATCCCCTTCCAGCTGCGCACCGTGGAGCTGCTCAAAGGTGGGTCCAGCTGGTCTGCCTATGTCTGGCATCATCTTGGTCCTCCACCCTCCACAGCACCCCACCTCCTCCTGCCCTAGCGCTGTCCCCTAGAGAATGCCCTCCAATGAGGGGCCTTAGGCCAGAGCCCTCTCTGAACTTCACCCTGCTGCCCTACAAAGCAAGATGGGAGGTTACCTTCTGCCCTGGAAAGTGGGGTAAAAATAACCAGATTTGCCGCGCTCCTGTCCTGCTTTGAAGGCACAACTTTAAATTCACAAACTCCTGGAGACTTTGGGAAAGAGAGACACAGAGCTGAGCCACCACTGTGCCACCAGTCCCTGGCCCATCCCACTCCTGGCCACCTCAGCCCTACTCTGGGAGGAGGGCTCTGGCTGGAGAGTGAGAGGGAGGACAAAGGTACTCCATGAGCCCCACACACATCTTCTGGTTTCTTTCTCCTCAGGGCAACACATGAGTGAGGAATTCTTCCAGGTGAACTGCCTGTGGAAGGTGCCTGTCCTCAAAGATGGGGGCTTCCTCTTGACTGAAAGGTGCCCTCCTAAACCCAGAGCCCACATTGCCTCCTCCCACTTCCCAGTGGGGTGGGGTGAGGGGGCTGGGGGGAAAACGGGACGGCCCTGGCATGTGTGTGTGTGTGCATGTGTGTGCGCGTGGCCATAGTGGACAGGCTGGGAATGGGTCCAGGATGGCCTGTGGCTGACCCAGCATGTCTCTGCCCCTCTCCCGACCCCTCTGCTGGACCCCCAAGCCTCTTCACCCCTGATTGAGGGGCTTTGGAAGGCAACAAGGGGACATTTGTCCAGCGTTAGACTGAATATATGTTCACATGTATGGAAACTGGAAAGGGTCTCTCCTGACTTCTCAGGTATCCCTGTCCTAGTTTGCCCAGGATGGCCCTGCCCAGTGAAAGGCCTGACAGCTCAGCTGCTGGTTCTCCCACTAGGCAGACAGAGGACAAGAGGTCTGTCAGGTGTCTATAGAAGTGATTGATGGCTGGTAGATCTGAAGAAGCCCAGGGACATGCTTCCAAACCTTTGGCATGCTCAAAGGACTCCACAGAGTATCACTGAATGCCTACCCCACATAAGAGCTTCAGGGCCCCAGGGAGGTTTTCTCTAAGCTGTGCAACCTCAGACAAGTTACTTAACTCTTCTGAGCTTGACTTCCTCACATGCAAAAGAGAGCATAAGAATCTCTACCTCATAGGACAACTGTGGAGGTACCACACAGATGATGTCTAAAGAGCAAAGCAGAAGATCTGGCCAAGGGTCAATGGCCAAGACATTGAAAGGAGAGATCTGGGGGTGCAACTCAGTGGAAGAGTGCTTGCCCAGTATGTGTGAAGCCCTGGGTTCCATACCCAGCACTGCAAAAAAGCAAAGTGCCACTAGGGAATATCAATAAAGGAAAAGGGAAGATTTGAGAGATGGGAGGAGGGGATGAGGCCAAAAGAGAGTTCTTCAAATGCAGAGAAGCCCTAAGGCCCCACTGAGGAATGGGAAACAGCCAGGGTCCTTACCGCTACTCTTCCCATGATCCTCAGCACAGCCATCCTGATTTACCTAAGTTCAAAGTACCAGGTGGCAGACAACTGGTACCCAGGTGACCTGCAGGCCCGTGCCCGCGTCAATGAGTATCTGGGCTGGCATGCTGACAACATCCGTGGCACCTTTGGTGTGCCCTTGTGGGCCCAGGTGAGCAAAACCCTCTGGGAGGGGTTAACGTTCAGGGATCTGGGAAGAGGCAGGGTCACACACAGAGCCCACCCATTGTTCCACCAGGTTATAGGGCCACTCATTGGAATGCAGATACCCAAGGAGAAGGTGGACCATAACAAGGCTGGAATGGGCCAGGCTCTGCAGCTGCTAGAGGACAAGTTCCTGGGGGACAGGGCCTTCCTTACTGGCCAGCAGGTGACACTGGCTGATCTCATGTTACTGGAGGAACTGCTGCAGGTGCGTGATCAATACGTAGAGTAGTAGAGAAGGGCAGGACCCCACTTCTTGCCACCACCATACATCAGACAGCTTTGTGGCCCGGGGAAAGCCAGAATCACAGAGGGCACCTCTGCCTCAGCCACTTTCCACCTGCCTCCGTCAGGCCCTGAGGCTGACCACACTGCTCTGTACCTCCTGTGGGCCCAGGGGAGAGACTATGTCTCCGTATTGCCAGGATCCCCTGAAGGGCCTGTGCTGACTCCCAGCATTGGGGTCTCAGTATCTCTCCAACTTTCCCATCCTTGTCCCTGCAGCCTGTGGCTCTTGGCTATAACCTGTTTGAAGGGCGGCCACGATTGGCAGCATGGCGTGCACGGGTGGAGGCATTCTTGGGTGCTGAGTTGTGTCAGGAGGTCCATGGTTCCATCCTGAGCATCTGGGAACAGGCAGCCAAAAAAACCATCCCAGTGCCCCCACCAGAGGCCCGTCCGTTTATGCTGCTTCGTATTGCCAGGATCCCCTGAATGTCCTGACTAGCAATAAAGATTTATTGTGTGTCTTGGCTCTTGTTTATCTTTTCTACTTATCCCTGTCCCTTCTCTGGCTCCCTTGTCTGACTCTGGGAGGACTGTGCATAGAAGAGACTTCACTCATCCTCAGCAGTGCTTTTCTTCAGGTGCTGTATACACAACCAATAGGAGACCAAAGTCAATAATATATAAAGAGTTCCTAAAAACCAACAATACAAAGATATACAAATCAATAAAAACTGGTAAAATTGGGGGCTGAAGAGACAGCTCAACAGTGGTTAAGAACATTGTTGCTCTTGTAGAGGACCAGGGTTCAGTTCCCAGCACTCACATGGTGGCTCACAACCAACCATAATTCCAGTACCAGGTGACCCAATGCTCTCTTCTGGCCTCTGTGGGCATTGCACACATGAAGTGCACTTACATGCCTGCAGGCAAAACACTCATACATACAAAAATAAGTAAGATGGGTGTGGTGCTACACACCTTTAATCCCAGCACTCAGGAGGCAGAGGCAAGCAGAGGCAGGCAGATCTCTGAGTTTGAGGCCATCCTGGTCTACATAACAAGTTCCAGGCTAGCTGGAGCTACAAGAAGACCCTACCCCCCCAAACTGAGAACCAAACCTAAATAAACAAGTAATAAATAAATAAAGTTAAAGATTGGCAAAGTCAGTGTCTTAAATATATCAAGATTCTAAATCCTCTGAGGAATTAAGTTACTGATTTCACTACATTGTCCTATAATATGTATGGGGTAAAACTGTGTCTCCATAAGCATCATGGTTAACCAAAGGAACTTCACAAACAAAACAGTAAACAGAAAACTAGAACTGCCAACTGTTCAAGGATATAGACAATGTTTCACAGGACATGGTCCTTAATTCTAGGATACTAAAAAGATTTCTTTGGATGAATACTCAGCTAGATGGTGCTCAGCTAGAGCAGCTGTTGGGAAGACTGACCCTAGCCCTCTAGCAACTAGGTGAGTGGTCCTGGCAGCGTGAACCTTCCTGGCCACTGAGTAGATCTCCCTCATAGACAAGCTAGTGCTTATGGAAGTGGCGCGAGGCCTTTAGACCTGCCTGCCTGTAGCCATGGGCTGCAACCTCTTCAAAGACTGACTTCAGCTGGCTGTTAGGCCCAGTGGGAGGTCATACTGGGAGCTGAGCTTCTTCAGGAGGTCCACAAGTCCATACTCCAGCCCCAGGAACTGGTGAGGGTCGGCAGGACCTCAGCTGGTATGGCAGCTGACACAGCAGCTTCAAGGGTAGTTAGTTCCTTTAAGGGGATACAGCCTGCTGTCTATCCTGCACTCTGTTGTCTCTCTACTTATCCCCAGCGTGGCTTGTCCTGTGGCAGTCAGGCCTGGGAAAACAGCAAATCTCACTAGAATTGCCAAAGAGACAAGCCTCTGGCCACATTTGTGAAGGATTCTCTTGATCAGGTTAATTAAAGCAGGAAGACCCACCCTGAGAGTGGGTGGCCCCATTCTTAGGGTTTGGGGCCTAGACTGCATGAAAAGGAGAAATCTAGATGAGCAGCATTCATGTCTCTTATTTCCTGACTGCAGAGGCAGTGTGACCTGCTGCCTCAAGATCCTGCCACATGACTTCCCATCACCATAAACTGTACTCTGGAACTGGGAGCCAAAATAAAGCCTTCCTTCCTTAACTTGCTTTAGTCAAGTATTTTATTACAGCAAAGAAGAAAATAACCCATATGTAAAGCACAAAACCACACTCTGCCTTAATCATGCATTTCAGGTGACCTTCTTCCATAGTTGTCAGGTTCAGAGTGTGATCTCTGTTGCCTTAATCCAGGCCAGGAGTTTTCTGGGTTCACTCATGGCACCGTCTGGTGTGACAGATAAAACGTAGCCCTATGACGAATAGGGTTGATCAGGAGAAAGCAGAGTTTCTTAGCAAAGGAACACATGGGACAGATTCCCTTCCGGGCAGGGAAAATGTCTGTCTGGGTCCTGAGCTGGGGTCTTTTTAAGGGGGGAGGCTTCTGCTTCCTGCAGAAGGTGGGAAGATGTATTTGTTTTAAAAGTTGGGCAGGGGAGGGGGAGGAGCTGGACTGTTAAAACCTGTTCTCTGTAGAGATCAAAGAGGAAGCCTGCTGCGTTGGCCAAACAGTGGAGAAAAGTCTGCTTCTCTTGACTTCAAAGACCAAGGTGCTCATCAGCTCAGTTCCCTTTTCTCAGGAGCATGAGAAGTCCTTGAGATCCTGTTGGTGAGGGGGCAGGTCCATCTGAACCTTAACATGGTGGACCTCATTGTGAGCACCACTGGTATTGTCCCCTTGTGCCTGAATTCCTCCAGTGTGTTAGTTTCCCATCTCTATAACAAAATACCTGAGACAATTAGTTAACTTATAAAGAAAAAAAGAGTGAGGCTGGAGACATGACTCAGCAGTTAAGCGAACTCACTGCATTTGAAGAGGACCTGAGTTTGGTTCCAGCACCCACAGTGGGCAGCCCACCATTGCCTATAATTCCAGCTCTAGGAGTTATCCACCAACCTCTTCTGGATTGCATAGACACCTGCACTCATGGGCACATAACCCACACACAAACACACATATACACATAATTTAAAAAATATTATTTTGAGACAGATCTCACTAAGTAGCCCTGGCAGGCCTGGAACTTTCTATGGAGACCAGGCTGAATTTGAACTCAAAGAGAGCCCCCTGCCTCTGCCTCTACCTCTGCCTCTACCTCTGCATCTCCCTTCTGAGTGCTGGACTTAAAGGCATAAGGCATGGTGGTGCATGCCTTTGATCCCAGCACTCGGGAGGCATAGGCAGGAAGATCTCTGTAAGATGAGTTTGAAGTACATAGTGAGTTTCAGGCCACACATAGCTATACAGTGAGACCCTGTCTAGAAAAGAAAGAAGGAAGGAAGGAAGGAAGGAAGGAAGGAAGGAAGGAAGGAAGGAAGAAAGGAAGGAACGGAGGGAGGGAGTCAGGACTGGGTGGATCTTTTGCTTTCAAGCTTCTGGTGGACATGGGAGTCCACAATGGTGGGAAGTGTGTGTGGCACAGGAAATGTTTACCTCCGGACCAAGAAAAAGAAAAAGAGTGTCCCACAGTCCCCTTCAAGGAAATGCCCCCAGTGAGCCAGCTGCTTTCCACTTGGCCTCTTTCTTTTCTTTACCGCCTTCCGCACTGGGGATTAAACCTAGGGCTTCCCATAGGTTAAGCAGACACTACCACTGAGCTATACAGCCAGCTGCCTAGGTCCCACTGTTCAAATCCCCACACCACCACCCCAGGGACCACACTTTTAACACATGGCCTTCTGAGGGCATTCACAATCTAAGCTATAGCACTTAGCTCCTCCCAATCCTTTTCATTCATATCTCAGGCTAGATTGGCCTATAGATTCTCCAGTCCCTACTTCCAGCTGGGTAGGCTTGGATCTCACTGTCTCTTTCTCATTTTGGACCCTGCAAATCCCCTGTCACCCTGTTCTTCATAGAAGGCAACCCTGGGAATCCTCATGCATGAGCTCTTCTCAGTCAGGTGTCTGTGAGGTAGAACCAGAGA